AGTTTGGCAGCGGTCAGTGAAGTTCGCTTCACGGTATTTCGCTGTACGATGATGAAGATGCACGGAATCGCAAGGTTGCTGATTGTAAAAAAGGAACTGAACTAACCTTATTTTGTAGAAATCTTTAATGTCTTTATTTAAGGGATTCACGGAGCAGTGAGAGTGCTAGTCCGGTGCATCACACAGTCCGACTTACGGGTGATAGTCATAATCTTATCGCGCTGTTCCCCACGCTGAAAGTGAACGCAACCGCACAGGCATAAGAGTCTGTTCATGGGGCTGTCTTCATGTTTACCGCGAGGATGAGACAAATCAATGCGTAACCATTGATAAAGCATTGAATCATCGTGGCTGGTGCACAAGTACACATTTGAACACATATATGAGCAAAATACAACTATTGATATCTGAGTGATTCGACAAAACTTCCCCATGTATAATGCCTAGCGAATTATTGAATCATTGCTCGAAAATTTGTAAGTAGTGATTTGAGCGTGAATGGCCGCCGTGTAAACGAATACCTATTCATCGTACAAACGTTACACAGGTGTCATTTTACGCAGTGCTCTGCCCTCAGAATGATAATTGTAAACTGCGTAATACTGGAGACTAGAGCAAAACAAATTGGTTGATCAGCACTGTAAAATCCCAGCGGTTTGTTTACATTCTGCATTTACACAGGTTTTGTTATTACTATAATTTTTGAAAGTTGTATTTCGTATCGATGCTTTGCACAGTGATACTGTACTGATCAACGCGCCGGTAATTTATCTGACTGGAAGAGGTGAATACGCTTCAAGACATCATATCGAATGAATGCGGGAGGATGATTCGGTTACATTGACTCTTACTCGTTGTGGGATGTATTTGATCTTAGATGTCATAGATGGCATTCGGTTGAGGTCTTCTAGAATTCGGTTCAGTTTTTTCCAATATCGTTTCTCCTTCTGGAGCAGAACTACTACATATTTGAAATGGAATTTATTATTATTATTATTATTATTATTATTATTATTATTATTATTACCGCTATTATCTCTACTGTTCTCTCCCTATTTCTAGGCGAATTTCACCCCCTTGCTGTTTGCTTGTTATCACGGTCATTTATCTTTAGTGGACACGTTACTACGCCGTGGTGCTGATATCAATGCCAAAGATCAAGTACGTGCCACACATCCCCTTTTGAATATGTGTTTGTTGTTCTTCTAGTATCAAATGGTGATTTTCCTTCTGCGTGTATTTATCATCCCACTCGCACCTTTTTCGCTCCGTTTCCTCTCCCTCTGTCTGTCTCTCCCACTCTTGAGTTGAACAAAGTGCGACTGGTTATCGAATCTCTATTGATCTCAAAATCACGGACAACCCTGTGTTCCTCTCGTATGTTTTCCTGTTCATCTGCTGATTCGGTTTCTTGAAATACCCTTTTTCTTGTGATTCCTGAACGATCAATACGGTATAAAAGTGTTTTGTCTAAGTATCCTCTGAATCCAGTTAGGTCACTTGTTTTATGTGGCTATTTACTACTCTGCATGATGCGTGTTTCAGTCAACAACTACATATGAAGTTTGTCACCTACGATAACAATATTTGGCCTTTTTAATGCGATTATGCCTTAAGCATAATAGCGATTTTATGTGCTTAGCAAAAATGTGGCGGAATGAGGCAGATGCAGCGCATGAGGCCATTTAAAAAGGCGTAGAATGATGTACTGCAGTAAGTGAATGGACAAAACATAAAGCGTTTACTTTCAGCGGCGATGAAAATGCATTAGCTGTAAAAAAAGCTATACTAAATCGATGCAATACTAGTCGATCCTGTATTCAGTTTAGTCTACGCGCGGACCGTCAACAGTTTGAGGAATAGTAGCCCTTCTGAATAGCACAAATTCGATTTCGTCTTAGCTTGTCTTCATACTGGAGTCGCATGCCTGCAATGTTTTCCATGTTTTGTTTTCTACCGCCTTTTTATGGAGTAGCACAAAGTCACTGGGCTGTATTTTTATCCGGCCAGGAAGTTATAGATTGGGCGTATTGTGACGGCCGTCGTTGATAAAGCTACCCTGGTCATCAGGTAATAATCCATCAAGGAAGACCAACGATTGTTCGGCCATTCCATCATTGTGAATACTTGAACAAACTCAGTTCAACTCCGATTGAGGCGTGTTTTGAAGTTCAAAGTGTCACACCATTGCTATAATGTAGTTAATCGAAGAGACGACGAAGTAGCGCCAATGAACTGTATCTCCTTTAGAAAATGTATAGCGTTCTAACCCGAGAAAAGTACGGATTCGTTTTGGAGATGTGCATTCCGTAAAAAAATTGATAATACGACAAAACAACATAAGTCAAGGCTAGTTCGCCACGGACGGCATTGCAGTGAATTACATTTCAACAAATTGAACGGAAGCGGACTGTCGTCCCTCACCAATCTTACAGATGTGCTTTTGAAATGTCTGGTTTATAATAAACAGTTTTTGCTCATATAGAAACTTTACGAGAACGAATTCCCATTCCGGTTGGTTCTCTCCCCTCATGCACTTCCACATTCTACTATCTGTGTATTACTTCCTCAGAATGGTTGGACTGCTCTGCACTGGGCTGCCCAACGTTGTCACGCAGACATTGTGGAATTGTTGTTGGATCATGGCGCATCTCGATCAATGGAAGATATGGTAGGTCTGGTTAAGCTGTTTACAAATGTCTGAATGTGGGCTGAGTAACAGCTTATCATATTTTATCTCAACCTTTGCAATCCTCGACCCCGAAATTTATGTGTTTACTTCTACCGTTTCAGCGCGGTGATATGCCCTGTGATGTGACCAACGATTTAGGCTTACGTGATTGCCTACTCCCCGACCCGGAATATCCTAACATTATCTCCAACGGTTATGTGACAACCGATGAAGAAGATGAAGATGAGGACGAGGACAAGCTTGATAGTGGCGACAAAACCGATGATCACAGTAACCGTACCCGTAGTCCAGCGAGTCGTACGTCTGGCTCGATTCACAGTCCGCATCACTCCCGTTCGCATCCCCGATCGACGGCACAACCTGTATCCAACAACCGAGACGAATCCATCGTCCCATCACCAGGCGCCACAGCAGTTTGTGTAGATAGTTGCAAAAACGGAGCCCGGATCACAGAGTTGCATGAACTCAATTTATTGGACGCAGAAGTACAAAAACTGCGTCTAGCTGTGTGTGAAGCAGCTGAATTATGACCTCGCTTGTGACGCTCAGTAGGATGCTACGAGTGTAATTGGGAAAGGAGACGTGCAAAGATTCTTGCAGTGTGCAGACAATCGTATGTGCGTTTTCCTCCTTCACTTCCCAAGCCTTTCTTTGCTTTTTCAGAGCCGAAATACAAGCATACATTGTGCGAAGCTAGAAGATGCGATGGAGAATGCACTGATGAATCACCACACCGCCCGAAATTTCTCCATGATGTTCGCGTTAACCGAACTTCGCGATCTTTGCCCATCTGTCTGTTCGTGAGATCAAATTGCCTTATCGGTGCATCGTGATTCCTATCCAGATCTATTTATCTGTTTATACAAACAACTAGAAAAAAGGTATCCTCGACATGGTAGTGGTGGTTTCGGACTGCCACGCGACTCCAGACTGTCCCTTTTATCTTCACAAAACCTACAATGCTTCCTATTTTTTGTTCGCGTCTGTCCATTTCTACTTGGCTCATCGTGCTTTCTCCGTACAAATGCAGATATCAATCAATCCGTGACACATTGCTTCACTCAGAACTCCGGTCATCGAATATGTTCTTTGATTTGACAAGCCCGAGTGTGATCTGAAGTGAGCCGGGCTTCCATGAAACATGGCTCTATTTTTGTTCGATCGCTCATTTTGTGCATGAGTCTGACTGTCGGTTGCAGGTGTTTAACACCGTCTTGTGTCTGTTGCCCATGCGGTACGATGAGATGTGAACTTTTCTTCCTCACGACTAACCGCCTTTCTCACCCTACCTCCTACTGCTGTCTCTCATCCCTCGCAATATTTGCTTTTCGTGCCCATGACATAATGGGATTTTATTGTTCATATAACACCGACGCGGTCTTTACTTTGTACAGTCGCATTCTAACTTTGCCCCACTCTTTATTCTCTGTGTGGGATTTCACTCATTGAATGAGTTTGTCTTTCAAGACAAAACAAATAGCCTGTCATCTTGTATTTTTTCTCTCCTATGTGTAGGCAGAAGATTGAATTACTTATGCTAAGAGCATTGTGCTATCAGAAAGAGGGCCTTATATGAGATTAATGTGCATTAACGAAGAGCAAAAAGCACTTCTTCTGTGGGTTTTGGTATGAACGCGGTTTCATGCAGTTTTGCCTCTCCGAAAGGGGGTGGACAGTAACTCATCGCAACCCTTGAAGCATTGGTACCATTCGATTCGGTGTAGTACCACATCCTTTAGTTTCACCAGAAAATAACTGTAGCTCTCTTGCCTCGATTGGCTAGGTCGAACTGTTTCGTAATACTGGGTGAACCCTGGCGTTCACATTCAACATTTCACACGGATTTCTCAAGTGACTCAGATTGGGAGAAGTAGTGCTCGGGCTTTTGAGTAAAAGACGTGATTTTGATCTGAGCACCCCCTCCGAGTACAGACACAGCTTTCGAGGTATGCATGGTTGGGAAGTACTCAGAAACGTTCCCGACAAAGTGAGCGCGTGAACATGCCGTCAATCTTGAAAAAGCTTGTTGCACTTGAAAGGA